GGTGCTGGCAACTCCCGAACCATGCAGTTTCTTGTAAGGATGGTGAGAGCAAGGCCACGTAATATAAAGAAGCAGGTCCTCGGCAATAAACAGTGCCACGTGGAAACCTCCCCTCTGCAACTTTAACATACGACGATGAATGCAATCACGATTGGTCCAACCCCTGGATGTTCGGAGAGACTCCGAGATTAGGGCAACGATCAAAGCTAGACTTCACGTGGGACGCCCTGAACCGTGATCCTCGACAACGTTGCGCTCGAGTATGCTCGCAACTGCAAGACTGTGCCACCGAAAATTGTCTAGCCAGAACATGCATTCGAGAATATGTTTCTGCGGCGCCGGTTCTTTTGTGAAACGGCGTGCTCGCCATATGCTCAGCAGGGTCCCTGGTGATCGATCCTCCTCAACCACTTCCTCCCTCCTCCTTGCATTGTTGAAGCAGGATGGAACAGGAGGGGCGAGGAGTACCTCAAGATTGCAAAATCTCCAAAGATCCAAAGATGCAATGCTTGGTTTACGGCGCAAGCGATGGAGCCCAGAGGAGGCATCCAGAAGCAGCTCGAGCATCGACAAGGGGAGAGAGGAAGATGCGAGAGGAGAGACTCGGAGAGAATAAATAAAGAAACATATTCAGGCGTCTGTAAGTCAACGCGGATCCTTGGATCCGCGTCCCTTCTTTTCCATCCTGCTTCCAACCTACAGACGCCTGTAAGTTCCTCCTTGGTTAAGAAGAAGGAGCAGGAATGCAGGAGGAAGAAGGAGCAGAAGCGTCTGTGAGTCCGCGCGGATCTCTTGGATCCGCGCCAGACCGCGCCGGGGGCCCCGTCGGGGGCGTCGCCGGGGGCGGGGCCCGGCGCCGAGCCGAGAGATCGTGGGCGGACCTCTGCAAGTTTGTGCTCAGGCAGAGATGCGTCTTAGTGATTGCTCCACTTCGGTTCGGGTCGGACGAACCGGGGGGGTTGGGCAACCAGCATTAGGCCTGGCATATCGTCCTACAGGCGGATTTTTTGAAAGAAAAGAACAAAACCAGCCAAAACACGTCCAACGATAGACAAAACAAATCGCAAAGTCGTCCCCAGACCATTTTTGTAAAAGGTTCTTCCATCTTCCTCCTGTAGAGGGGCGTGCCCGACTCAAACCTAGCAAGAGGGAGATCGGCGAAGCGGCTCACGTATGAGCAGGGTCTCCTGGCGCCTCCCGTGCGCAGGAGGCTCCAGGGCGTCGAGGCAGTGCGGGGCCGAAACCGGCTGCGCGCCTTCTGTCGGGCGTGTCCCCCTACAGGGGGATTCTCGTCGAAGAATGAAAAATACCCCAAACATGCCCCCAACCAAGGCCAAACAATAGTCAAAAAATAGTCCCCAGACTATTTTTTTTCGTATTTTTTTGCTATTTTGGAGTATTTTCTATTTTTCGTCGAACATCCCGCTGTAGGGGGACAGGCCCGACTTAATGCGCGCCGCAGATTTCGCCCCCCCCCCTCCCCCCCTGTTCCCATACCCCCCTCGCGCTGCAAAGAAATCGCTCGCAACAGCTTTTGTTTCTCCCATCTCTCGTCGGCCTCCGGAAGCCCCTACCGGGCCACGCGAGCGTCAACAAAACGACTCGGGATGGAAAGCCGGTCCCGGGGAATCCGTCCAGCCGCTCAGGTCGGGCACGTCCCCGAACAGGTGGATTTTGGTGGAAGAATTAAAAATAGTGAAACAGTGCTCCAAAATGGTCCATGGCCAAGAGCTCGCCTCCAGACTGTTTTTTGACTGTCTTTGAAGATCCCTCCTGTCGAGAGGGACGCGCCCGACTTAACTCTGGGGGTCGACGTCGTGAAAAAAACACGACGTCGGGGGCCTGGGCGTGTCGGCGTGTCGGAGGAGGGGAAAGAGAAGGAAGGGAGAGGGGGAGAGGCGATGGGAACCGAGGGGTGAGAAGGCGGAGGGCGGAGGAGGAGGAGAGAGGAGGAGGAGAGAGGAGGAGGAGGAGGAGGAGGAGGAGGAGGAGGAGGAGGAGGAGAGGAAGGAGGAGCACGAGTCGTGGGGGGGAGCGAGAAGAAGGCCGGGCCCTTCGTCTGGGGCTTCTTCATAGGAAGGAGCCGCCCCTGCCTCGGAGGAGGCCCGGGGGGGCTCTCCCGGAGGCCAGAGGGGCCTCCCCGAGAGCCCTCTGAGGAGGCCCGCCCCTCTCATCCTACTCCTCCTTCTCCTCCTCTCCTCCTCCTCCTCCTCCTCCTCCTCCTCCTCCTCCTCCTCCTCCTCCTCCTCCTCCCCCAAGTCGGACAGCGCCGGGTAGAGTTATGTTGCTCCCGTCCGACTCAAGGACCGCATCCCAGAAGCAATTTCGAGCACCAAGAAACGTGTCGCAAGAGCGTCGAGAAGATGTCGAAAGAGTGTCGAAAGAGTGTCTCCCCGACGCGTGAAAAACCCTCGATTTTTGGGGCGGTGCTCGAAATTCATTCTGGTGATCAAGGCTAAAGTAAGTTGGAACGCCAAAACTCTAGAGGGCAGAAAATCCACCCCGATAACAGCCACCCCGACACGCGAAGCCGTTTAGTAAACGCACCCAAAGAAGGAATCAAACAGGGCAGGGCTGTTCAGTGAACGCCCAGGGCCGTTCAAATGCCAATTGTCCGGTCCGGGTGGTTTTTCCTCCCTTGTTTCTCGCTTCCCCCCCTGGGCTCGCCGCCCAAACTAGCAAAAAGGAGGTCGGCGCAGCAGCGCCAGAGTCGGGGAAACGTAAGACTCGGGCGGGCCTGACGGGGCCATCAGGAAAATGGTGAGACCCAATCTGAAAATTGGCGCCAAATCCCACTGCAAACATCCCACGAAAACTAAACCGTCAGAATCCAGGACGTCAAAAAGCGTCGGCAAACCCGAGTTACGGCGTACTCCCAGACATCCAGCCGCAAACAATTGTTCGATGCGTGGGCCCCTAAGGCCAGTTTTTCGTCTTGAGTCATTTTTTGACGGACCGAGGCCCGACGAGGGCCGCCAGAGGCAGGAAATAGCTCAGAGCCCGCCGCTCCAATTTTTTCGAAGCTCGAGTCTTACGCTTCCCCGATAGAGGCTGTCATGCCTCGCGACAACCCGGAGATCCGACGTTGCGAAAATCTGCAACATGGCAAAAATTACGACCGGACCCCCGATCCCATCTTTCTGCCTCATGTTTCGAGCCGGATCGATATGTGAGGTTCCTGGGGCTATCGGGGAGCTTCTGAGCCGGGTCAATCCAGACCAGGGTCAGTCAGGCCTTGCAGAATCCTGCAGCAGGATCCTGCACCCAAGCCCGGGTCAATGCGACCCTGGCCGTGCAGGATCCTGCAAGGTCGGGCGCTCTGGCTGACCCCCGTTTGCATTGACCCCTGTCCTGCAATCCTCGATCCGAGGGGGGGGGCTCCTCCTCCTCTTTCTCCTCCCTCTCCTCCTCCTCCTCCTCCTCCTCCTCCTCCTCCTCCTCCTCCTCCTCCTCCTCCCACGTAGATTGCCCGCCCTATGTTGCCATCCGTCCGACCAAAACGCAAGCGATTCTGGTCTCATCGGAGGAAGCTCCTGGGAGGTCTTCGTGGGAACGATGCTAAGCTGCTCAAGCCCAATGGATCAACAAAAATACGGCATACGTAACCATCAACGTTGAGAGGTCCGCTCGGATCTCTTGCGTCGGCACTGGGTCTGACCCTGGCGCGCGGAACGAGCCAGAGTCGGCGGTGGAGGCGTAGCCAAAGGATACTGGTGCAAACAGACATCGGAAAGCCTTTCGTCCCAATGTTTCCACGACGCGCGCATCCCTCCCCCCTCCTCCCTCCTCCCTCCTCCCTCCACAATTACACAATATGAAAATACTCTCCCACTTCCCCTGATGGCGTCCCGAAGATATCCGACCCCCCCCCGCGTATTGTTTTTTACACACAGGATTCCCGGGAAAAGGGTTTTCGCCTGCGTTTGTTTTCAAAATGCTGCTCTCGCTGAGGCGCCGGCCTCATTTCTGCTCCCGAATCGTTCCGAATCGTGCTCCCGCTGCAGCGTGGGCCTCATTTTCGGATCGGTGTTTGGCCTCCGTCGTTCAGGATGGCGTTCTCGCCCCAGCGCGGGCCTCTTTCTCGCGCGCCCATCCGCCCGCCACCACCGCGCCGCACCACCACCACCACCACCACCACCACCACCACCACCACCACCACCACCCCACCACCACCACACCAGCACCAGCACCACACCACCACCAGCACCACCACCACACCACCACACAACCACGCACACACGCACGCACGCACGCACGCGCACCACCACCCACTACGCACGCGCGCGCGGAGCCACAGGTCCGCTACGACACGCGTCCGCGGATAGAGAAAATCAGCGCCATGGTAAGGGATGGGAGGGAGGGGTAGGACGTCAGATATGACGCGAGCGCACCTAGCTTGCCCCTCCCCCCTCCCCTCTCCCCCCTCGCCCCTCCCCCCCTCCTCCCTCCCCCCTCCTCCCTCTTCCCTCCTGCCTGGGTGCCCCCCCCCCTTTCAGCCACAGTCTGCGTGCCGAGGGTCTCTTGCCGGTCCTTCGGGGGGGGGGGGGGGGGGGGGGGGGGGCGAGCGCGGCCACGCAAGGCCGCGCCTGCGAGAAGCGGCCGAGGCCTCCCGCGGCACTCGCCGTGCGGACTGCAGGGTCTCTCGCCTTTAGCGGCCCCGTTGGTGGGCCATGCGCGCACGACGGGCAGACAGTCTGGTGCGGAGCTCTCCAGGCGCGGGGCCCACGCGCCAGACCCGCAAGGCTTCCAACAGCTTATAGTCGCCCGCTCCTCTGGACGCATGGTGCGGAGAGTTCGAGAACAGGAAGACTCCACCCAAGAACGTGTCACCACCAAGCACTGCGGTGCAAAACCTGCAACAACAACAACAACAAACCTTCTCTGCCGATACTGGACGCCCTTACCAAATCGCTGCCTGGCATCTTTCAGAATCTGGTGCAATGGAACGTTGGCCGACTTAAGCATTGTTCGTTCGCTTTCAACGCATGCGACTGCTTTTTTGTTTGTTTTGTTTGCTGCGCAAAGGCAATGCGAGGTGCAGTACCAGCAGTGGTCTGACTGATGGGGTAACGTAGTGCCACACATCTTCAAGGCAAGGACAACGAAGTACAGTCTCTCCAAGCTGTAGACGGTGCGACAGATGGCATTAATGCGTATTCCAAACGAAAGCGCACTTACACCCCAAATCCGCCGACCCCAGAGGCGTACGAGGGAAAGCGACCAACATCGAGGAAGGGCGGAGGAAAAGGAAAGGGTGAGAGGGGAGAGGGGGCAGGAAAAGGCAGCCTCACGCGGCGTCGACCAACCTGTCCCACGCGGCGTTGACCAACCTGCCCTCTCCCTCATGTGGCCACATCGGACGCCACCACACTCAACGACCCTCGGAGACCCGGAGTCCACGTAGAGAAGCGACCTCGCACCCCGACTTTTCCAGTGCCTTGACGTAGGGCTGCGGCCAGTAAGGTGTGGACTCGACAGAGTAATACGCAACGCGGATGTCCTCGTCCGACATGTTGATTGATGGCCTAAAACCGGCGTTCACCTTGGGAGTCGCCTGGGCCCGCTTGTAGATATGGCGCGCAAGTTGGGACGAGTTCTCTACCTTCAAGCCCCACGAGTTCTCTACCTTCAAGCCACTCTGCGGAAGGCAGGCTAGCACGTTGTCAATTGCGTCGTAGTCGAACATAAATGTGTGAAAAGCTCGACTGCGAACCATCCACTCTTTTATCCAAATGTGAGGGCCCTGTCCCAATTCGACTGTGTGATTGCGCAGGGCCATTTCCAGCCACGTGAAATTCCCGCACGCGTCGGGGCAGGCCTCTTCCTCACATCTATTTTTGCCCGCCTCCACCCAACACACTTGCTGGAGCGCAGACCTTAACCACGACATTTCCTCACGAATAGGCAATAAGAAAAGCGTGTTCCGCGCGCACGGACTTTTCAGAAGGCGACCCAGACCATCGAACAAGTGGGAGCCTGTAACGGCCCACTCACATTGATGCCGCTGCGCTGAGATGGCAAGTTTGTCGCGTTCGTGGAGTTCGAGGTTCCCAAAGAAGAAATACTTCACTGAACTCCCTGCAGTTTTAGCGGAAGCTCCAACGAAAATGTGAGTCAAACCGTTCAGACGGACATAGTCCCGTATACTGCGACATAGCCCAGTGGCCTTCCAGCACAATTGCGAAAAACTGCGAACAACCGAAGACTCTTTACTCCGATCCCTGCTGGGAATAGACTTCGCCTTAGGCGAATACATCTGCAGGTCATCGTTGCTGGGAGTCCAGCTTCCGATCCTGTGCGAACCATGAGGACCAAATGGCACAACGATGCCTTTCAAGATAGCCAGCTTGCACGTGAGCAGAGAAGCCGAAACAACGGCGCAGGCTAGCAGCACGTGGCGCGCATAATACACTCTGCTCCTGTTGCCTATCGCTTGACCATGCTTAACAGCTGATGTGGCTTTGGCTGGCTCGTGCTCGAACGGCTTGAGCCAAAATGGCTACGGACAACGCATGCGACTGCTTGAAGTTAGAGGATCACTGTCATTAAACACTGCGCCCTCCGAGAGGCGTCCCAAGAGGGCCTCCAGATGCAAAAATCGCCCAATTCCCCTCGGAAGACGTACATGTTTAGCACACTCCGCTTCTCGGGCGTTCACAACGTCCAAGACGGCTCAAGAGGCCTTCAACATCGCCCCAAGGGGCCCCCAAGAGGGCTCGAATACGACCCAAGCGGCCCGGAAGACGGCCCAAAAAGCCCCCAAGACGGCCCAGGAGGGCCCCAAGACAGCCCCACGAGGGACCCCAGAAGGGGGAGCCCGAACGGACATTCCGAGCCTTCGACCAGAAGACGCCCCCCCGTTGCCCCGAGAAGCCCCCAGCAGGCCCCCAGGGACCCCCAAGAGGGCAGCAAAAACATTCCACAAGGTCCACAGGAGGCCCCCGAGAATATTGAAAACTGCCTCCCAGACGCCCCCGAGACGCCTCCCACGAGACCCCGTCAGTCATCCGAGTGGCCTCAAGCCCGCAACCCAGGGACGGTGACGGGATGTGCCCGGGTGTTTCTTGACAGATGGGTTCGCTTTGCAGTGCCCCTGCATCGCTGCCACGCTGGAGCGGATCGCCCCGCCTCGCCGACGACGGGACGACAAAAAGTCCTGACGGATGCCCGCCGCCGTCTGTAGACGTGGGTCCTCGCCCGCTTGGGGGGGCGGGGGCCGAGGTCGGCCCCGGGAGGCTCGAGCTCCCGAGCGCACCCCGAGGGCCTCCGGACCAAAGATGGTCACCCCGACCAAGCTCTCGAGACGAGCTCAGCTCCTGCGGCGCAGGCCCCCATCGCGGCCCACACGAGTCAAGAAAGACCGGCGCCCAGCAACAGGCTCCCACCGGCCCTCTGGGCGCCTGTGGGCTAGGGGGCCTCTCTTCCAAACCCCGTCTTCCTTTTGGAGACTGGTTTGCCTCTGCTCCGTCATAAAAGGCCCCCCCCCACTCGACCGGCGGCCGACCCGAAGCAAAGACACCCCCCAACACTATCCCTCTCAATGCTTCAGGCAGTGCGCTTTGCGACAAGATCTAGATCATCTTCGGGCGTCCCACGATCACTGTGCATTGTTCTTTTGCAAGCAGGCGGGGGGGAATCAGATTGCCCCATGTGTGCAGGCCGACCATCCCTCTCAAATAGCAATTCGATGCGCACGTGGCGGCAAAATCCGCCGACCCCTTGGGGTGCCTTCGGGGTGTGAGATAAATCCCCCCTCCCCCAACCCCTCCCCCTGGAGCCCAGTACGGTCGATTTGGAGGGGTACTCAGTAGGGGCGCGCCCGAATCCCCTGGGCCCAGCTCGAACGCATCGTGGGAGGATAGAAGGCTCCAAAACTAGCCAAGAGGGCTCCAAGAGGCCTCCAAGACGGACAGGGCCCCAGATCGCCGAAAGATCCTCCAGAACGGATGCGATGGCCTCCAGACGGCCCATGAGGCCCCCAGGCACCCCAAGAGGCCTCCAAGAGGCCTCCCATGAGCACCCCAAGGGGCAAAAGTCATAGGTTTCCATAGGGCGTGCGCGAAAAATTTTAGCGTCCTCGCCTTTTCGGTTCCCCAACGCTCCAGGACGGCCCAAAAGGCTCCCAAGATCCACCAAGACGGCCCCAGAGGCCCCCAGGAGGGCTCCTAAGTGGCCCAAGGAAGCCCCCAGACGGCGGCCCCAAAGACGGCCTGCGAGGCCTCCAACACGGTCCGAAGGGTTCCAAGACCGGCCCGCGAAGGGCCCCGAAGGGGAGTCCCGAGTCCGAGCCCACGTTTCGAGCCCTCGGCCCCGCAAGGCCCCTAAGAAGCTTCCAAGAAACCCCGAAAGGCCCCCAGGAAGCCCCAAAAGGGCTCCAAGAAGCCCCCACGAGGCGCCCAAGAGGCCCTCAGGAGCAGCACGCAAGAACCGCCAGTCCCCCAAGGAGTCGGCGGTGTGGCGTAAGCCTAGGATCATCGATGTCACGAAAGTGTTGGACCCATGTTGGTCGCTGGTGGGGGGGGCTACTTCACAACGGCCCCTCCTGTGGTCGATCTCCTTCAAAATGGTCCCAAGATGGCCCCCGATGCTACTAAAGGTGCCCCAAGACGGCACCAAGAGGTGCCCAGGAGGCCCCAAGAGGCCCCTAAGAGGCCCCAAAGATGCCCCCAAGAGGCTCCCAAGAGAACCCCCCCCAGAGGTCCTCCAGAGGTACGCATGACGCCACACGAGGCCCTTGGGACTGCCAAGACACCCCCAAGACGCCCCAAGAGGACTCTAAGAAAATGTCGAAAGACATCCGAGGAGGCTCCGAGAGGCATCCAAGAGGCCTCTGCCCTTTCTGCTCGTCCTCCTCCTCCTCCTGCTCCTCCTCCTCCTCCTCCTCCTCCTATTCCTTTTCCTCTTCCTCATCCGCCTATTCCTCTTCCTTCCTCCTCCTCCCTCCTGACCCTCCCCTCTCCCTCCTCGTCCTCCTCCTCCTCCTCCTCCTCCTCCTCCTCCTCCTCCGCCTGCTCCTCCTCCTCCTCCTCCTGCTTCTCCTCCTCCTCCTCCTCCCTCCTCCCCTTTTTGGGGTATGACGTTTGCCCCAGCCTAATCATTTCACTGCATGCTCCTCCACATCCCTGATCAAAGGCAATCCGCCCGGGCATCGTGTCTGGATGTGCAGGTGGGTTTGTGCGAAGCGTCTAGAATGACAACGCTTGCCCTTGGACATTGCAAGCTCTGGAGCTTCCATATCAGCACTGCGGGCCCTGATGCCAAACCAGCAACGAGGCCCACACGGCCAGCACCTGCCGAGAACATGCACGCATGTCTTGGCATGGTCCCCGTTGCCACATGAAGGTGTGATTCCACATGTGCGCTCAAGATCATAACCTCGCCCTGTCGATTGTGAGGCGACGGCAACAAAACCCGTTCATACAGAGAGTATCCCATCCTGGCAAGAAGATCACACAGGTCTCTAGCGGCAATCACTGCGCATAATTGGAATATTTAACTGCAAACATCGGAAACCGCGCTCCTCGAGTGGAACGTGCATGACGTACGGTGCTGCCCCAGGGAACTCTCTGTCCTTCGCTGGGATCGCAAGCGACAACAAAACTCACATGAAGTAGAATGCAACACCACCGTACCAATGTATTACACTCGAGAACGTTGTCTGAATTCCCATCATGGTTGCCGATCATACGCGAACACCAAGACCAAACAGCCAGATTGGACGAGCGCCTGTCGATGAGCTACCCAATCTCATTTCGAAACACTGCGAGATCAACTAACATGTATGGAAGAACACCCAAATGACCGCAATACACATGGACGACACGGAACGGGGACGAGCATACTGCCAACAACATCAAAATGCCATACCTCTCGCAATCCACAGCCAAAGCGCACAGAGTGCAACTCTATCAAACATATCCGTTGGAATACGTCCCGCCAGAGCTACCACCGTTCAACGCTACCGCTGCCGAACCTCAACCGTCCCATACGGATAGGGAGGTCGGGGAAGCGGTGCTTGGAATATTTCAGTCGAGATAACATTCATCGCAGGCTCGATGCTGCAGTGGACATTACAACGCACAAGGAGCCGAACTCTATACACCGACGCTTTTTCCTGGCCCCGCACTGAAATTCTCACAGGGAATTCTGGTGTATACGGGATCCTGGTGTATACATGTTTCATTGCTTCCCAAGGAAAGCGGGGAGACAAGCATACGCCACACCACCCCGACGTCGCCCCGACCCTCAAGAAGTCCTGGGATTGAGAAGCAGCCCGCCACTGGTGATGTGTATGTGCCAGTTTCCGAACACATTCACGCTTCCTCCACCCCCTCGGTCCTGGAGGAGGAAGAGGAGGAGGAGGCGGAGGAGGAGGAGGCTAGGAGGAGGAGGAGGAGAAGGAGGCTAGGAGGCTAGGAGGCTAGGAGGCTAGGAGGAGGAGGGAGGCGGAGGAGGAGGAGGCTAGGAGGAGGAGGAGGAGAAGGAGGCTAGGAGGCTAGGAGGCTAGGAGGCTAGGAGGAGGATGAGGTGGAAGGGGGAGGAGGAGTATGAAGGAGTGAGGAGTCTGTATGAGGAAGGAGGGATGCTTATAAGGGAGGCGGAGACAGTATGAGGATCATAGCGTGAGGAGCATTAGGAGGAGCATAGGTGGATGAGGATTGGAGGTCTATTGTCGGATCAGCAAGCTTGAGGAGTACGAGTGCGAAGGTATTAATAAGGAGGTGAGGAGGAGGAGGAGAGGCTAGTAGGCAGGATGCAAGGAGGCAATGATGCAATGTAAGTTACGGAGGTAGGAGTGCAGTTAGGAGAAGGATGGAGGAGGCGAAGGCAGGAGGAGGAGCTAAAGGCAACCCATCTTCCTGCCGCACTCCTCGAGCCAGACCCATCCCCAGGGGCCCCGGGCCCCGAGGCCGGGCGACGAGCCGATTGCCAATTGCCACGCCTGCTGCGACGAAGACCGCAGCGCCGGGCCACGAGCCTGCCCTCCCCCCCTGGGCTTCGTGGTGCGAGGAGGAGGAGAAGGAGGAGGAGGAGGAGGAGGAGGAGGAGGAGGAGGAGGGAGAAAGGAGTGAGAAAGGAGGAAGAGGAGAGGACGAGGGAAGAAGGAAAGGAGAAGGAGAAGAGAGAAGAAGAAAATCATCCTCCATAAGGAGAAGGAGAAGAAGAAGAGGAGGGAAGGGGAGGACAGCAGGAGCGGAGGCGGGAGAGGGAGGGAGGAGGAGGGAGGAGGAGGAAAGTAAGGGAAAGGGAGTTAGGAGGGGAGGAGGGGAGGAGGAGGGAGGAGGAGGAGGAGGAGGAAGAGGGGAGGAGGAGGAGGAGGATTCGGAGCGAGGAGGAGGAGGAGGAGGAGGAGGAGGAGGAGGAAGGAGGGAGGAGGAAGGGGAGGAGGAGAGGAGGGTGAGGGGGAGGAGGAGGAGGAGGAGGAGGAGGTGGAGGAGGGAGGGAGGAGGAGGGGAGGAGGAGGAGGAGGGGCGGGGGCTGGGCGTCCGGGTTAAGAGGGC